ATTATTTTCAGATCTGTATCTGTCAAATTTTTAGATTCTTCAGCAAAATTGATCTTTTACTGTATATAATGATTTACTTCGCTCGTTCAATGCATCAGTCAATCACGTTGCCGTACATTTATGCCTTTCGCAATATGCGAAAGGTCTCCGTGTCAGTTCATTCTTTGCGCACTACACAATATAGAGGGGAGGGGGGAGGGGGTGTGTCGATTACAACGCACACAACAAAATTGTACGAAAAAAAACTTTGGTTGCGTGACGAAAGTACAGCTCTTTGCACGCGTTCGATCACGCGAAATCGGAGTGACGTGACAGAACAACCGACCGATTGGTCAGATAGTCTGACGAATGGTGAGAAGGGTACAATTGCACCTAAAGTTTCATTCCGCATCGTGACGCTTCGATCTTGCGATGAGACTTGATTATCTTATATTTTTGAGAAGCAAGGAATTTATATAAGTCGAAAGAGATTTAACTTAAAAAATTTTATATCGCCGACTTACGTTTCTCAAATTTTATATTGTCCTTCGCGATAACTTATTTCTTTAACGTTTCATTGCTCTTAATCATTATTTTTCACGACTCTTAAGATTTTAATTAAGGAATTCAAAATTGAATATGCACGAGAGCTTACAAAGTTAGCTGTTAACATTATATCTTATGTATTGCATGAGTAACTTCGATCGATGACGACTAAGAGCCAGAAGTAATTGCTTGGTGGTGGCTAATTGCAATTGGAAACTAGGAGGAAAGATATACATATAGCGTTGTTGCAGAGAACGTTGCGCTGTCCGTCGGGAAGTAGTTTGATTTTCGGATAATAACATATCAGCGAGAATGTATAAAATCGTGGGAAGGTTTTTACGTAACCGTGCGGTCGATTAGCGTGACGTGATGGAAACGGCAGGTCAAGTACGTCGTACGAATAACGAGAGGGGTGAAATCACAGGCCGCGGTCGATAAGTATCGCGGACACGGTACGATCGAAGGCCCATAAAAAATTTACGATGGCCAGGCAAGACCGATTGCATTTCGACGAGAGTGCAGTCGTGTCTAATTCCGAAATCGAATCATACGTTTGTCCGTTTCGAGAACGATAAAAATTATTTGTTATTCGATTCACGGATGATAAGGATCGTTTGTTAAAAAGCCATTTACTGAAACTGCAATAAAAATTTTATTCTTCTTGACACAGCAAAGGATTTTTTTTTACTAACTACACTGAAAGAACGATTTTGTTGAAGTTGTTGTCTAAAAATTTAGCTAAAGCTAAATCTGAAAATAAATTCGTTGAACCATCAAAATAATTAATAGGAATCTCAAGCATGATAAGCAATATCGTAAAAAGTTTTGACATTTTAGTAATCAGTTTAAATCGCTCTATGTAATTATTTTGATGACTCGATAGAATTATTTTCAGATCTGTGTCTAATTAAATTTTAAACACTTTAACAGTTTAAAGCCCTTCGTACAATAATTGAATATATATGGAAAAATTTTTATTCATTTGCAATGTTGTAATAATACAGTTGTTAACAATTGTAACAATTGTACATTGTTAACAACTGTATTATTACAACATTGCAAATGACTAAAAATTTTTCCATATATAATTATTCAATTAATATACGAAGGGCTTGATATATAAGGTTATTTTTAATCATTTTGAAATTTGTTAGACATCATTTGTATGACATGGTGTTACCATCACAAGAGATCGACGCGTAATGTGATCGATACGGCATACAGATACGCTAAAACATTATACGTTGACATACAACTACGACTCGCAATTCGCGACTCGGTTACGAACCATTAAGGGTTCTCTACATAGATGTCGTAGATGGTCGTGGAGTCTTACATCATAGGAAACCAACTAATCACAATCAAATATAAAGAGAATACTCGATTAGAATTGGTCAATTTCCTACGACTGAAGACTCCACGATCTTCTACGATTTCTATATATAGAGGACCCTTTATTGTGCTGAGGCCCTAATACGGATTGCTCCCTAAAACTTTTGTATGTGTGTATGTGTTTTTATGTGGAGTGGAGTCTAACTCTAAAGAGTCAAATCTCATTCTTCAAAATTGACATTCTTCAGAATTGAGTCATTCTTTTTCAATACTGGTTTAATCGTCATTCTTTGTCGCTCTTTAGATTCCATTCCAAAGAGAACAGATTATATGAAATTAGTGCAGTGTGATGGAATATAGGTGAGCGAAATACAGCATTTGAATAGTAAAAAGGATGAAA